CTGTTTTAAAGGTATAAATTGGTTTAACAATGTTATGTATGATTGTGTACGTTACTTAGATATGTACGTTCTTGATGAACAAAGTTTCTTATATTTTAAACACATTGATGTTAATGCCGATTAATTGTGATTATCGTTTTATTATTTCATTCAATAGAAATTTCTATGTTTAACAATTTTAAAAAACGTAATTGAAATTTTTCAAAATTGAAAAATATTTAATTCTTTTAAATTTGAGCCTCTATTCTCCCTATAAATAGAAAAATTCGAAACGACTTATATCTTTTTTAATCATATATTAAATAAAATCTTTTTCAATTTTCTTGAAAATTATTTCAACTATATCATATAATCACAAATAAAAAATCTCTATAAATGATAAAAATAATCAAAATTAGATGTAATTGAAGTAAAATTTATATATTCACAATGCCCTTCCTAAGTGCATAACTTAGGAAGAAGGAGAATGTTGTTATACGTATCGATATATGATAATCGTGAGAGAGACCTATTTTATCTTGTACAAGGATTCCTCAGTCGATATTATTTCTTTTCTCTATCTTAATACATGTCACCAATATTAATTATCTTCTTGATTTTTGTATGGAAAAATAATTCTCAGATTAATCCGCATAAATATTTTACATAATTATTTATTTTATATAATCATTATTATAATAAATATATGTATAAGAACAATTATTATTATTAGAAAATTATATTTTTTAAAAATATGTAACCATTTCTATAAAATATTAAATTTTATTAATATTTATTAAATTATAAATTTCAGAATTTTTTATGCATATATATTTAATATAAAAAAGTATTATTTTTAATTATTTAATTTCTTAAACAATCTACATCTAAAAGATACCATTCGTTTTTTGACTTTTATAAAAAATCAAAAATCAACTTTAATAATATATTATAAAAAACTATTTTGAACAATTTTTTCTTTACACATAATTAGTTTAAACTAGTTTTTGAATTAGCAAAAAAATTTGGATAAAAAATCATTCTATTCATACAAATATATTTATTACACTATCAAAATTTAAAAACGACTTGCATTTAATATGTATGTATGATGAACTTCTCTCTAATTCGAAAAAAAATTAATTTATTATTCATATTTGTTTTTTACAATTCAAATAATCGGAATGCAAAATTGTACAATAAAATATCTCAATTACGAAAATAAAATATTCCCGAATATTATCGATACATACATCAGAAAATTGTAAATCAATTATGGAAAAAATTAACTTTATAATTTCAAATACATTTAATAATTTAATAATGATAATAATAATAAGATCGGCGAAAAAAGAGGCAAGTGAATCAAAATAAAATTTAATAAATAATATTATAAAATTATTTATGAAAATAATCTTAAATATTTTATTTTTTTTTTTAAGAAAATAAGAATAAATAATATATTATGCAACTCAATTGAAATATTTTTTATAACAGGAATTTCAAATTTGAAAGTGATTTAATACGTTTCGGTTTTCTATTAGATGTTTAATTTGCATTCATTTGGAAATTTTACTTTTTATATTTTTTCTATGCATATTACATTACCTAACGAATATAATTTGTCAGGTTTTTTCTTTTTTTTTTTTTTTTATGTTAGTTGCACGAATTATATGTAAAGATTTTTATCATTTATATTTTTAGTTGCACGAATTATATGTAAAAAACACCAAATGGATTCTAGTTGACGAAATATTGACATTCGAGAATAAAAACCCGTTAGAAATTTTATAAAAGAATTCTACCCTTCCTCGATTGCCGTTCAGAGGGGAAGATAAAAAGGAGAAAAGGAATATACAATCAGAATAAGGGAGAATAGTCTAGCGAAGGGAAAAGGCATCAGTTTCTCCCTCTCTTTTGCTTTCTTTTTTTCTTGTATATCCTTCTTCTTTTCTCCTAGAATTGTATTCAGCACAAATTTAAAAATGAAGTTGAATTTAAATGATGTCAATTTTCATGTTTATTCTACATACACTATATATATATAAAATAAAACAATAATAATAATGAACAAATAAAAATAGATAAACAATTGCATTATATATGAAGATATTCTTCTATATTACAATATTAATTATAATTATCTTATTTATACATATGCTATCTATTTATATATAAAAACTGAAATATAATTAAATATTTTTAATAATATTATAACATATATTAAATTATATTGAAATGATTTTTTTTGTATGTAGTTTGTATGTAGTTCATGTATGTAGAGTTAAAAAGTTTCTTAAATAACGATTTTAACAATATCATTTAATGTTATAAATCCTTCTTTGATGAATATTTTATGCATATCATATATTTTACATATATCAATACACATGTATAACATATATGTATATGTGTATATATATATATTATATAATGCACTATTAATAGAAGAAAGTTTCTTTTTCGTTTTAGTGACAAGAAAAGACATTCTCTTTTCCGTTGATTTTAGAAACTAATAAGATCAAATGAGCGTAAAAGAAAATTATTTTGCAGATGATTAACGATAACTTTCTTTTATTTTACTTTTAACAATTGAAGATTATCTTTCATCTATTAATTATAACAATTTTCAACAATGAACATTTCTTTCATTTGTCTTGACGTAAATTCTTGCTCTGTTAAAATTTTAAATTTATTTTAGATTGATAGAAATATAATAAAAATTTCAATGAATTTTATTTACTCTTTTAAGTTTTATATAATATTTATTTACTCATTTATAAATATTGAATAAATTTAAATAAAATTGAAAATATCTTTATGATATTATAATTAAGATATTATAATATCTTATGAGATATTATAATTATTTTATATTTACTATTTTATTTCATTGTAAAATATTTAAAAAAAAGCATATAATAAGTATTACTTTTACAATTTTCAATTATTAATTTATCATAATCTTGTATGTTAATAAAAAATAAAATTGTTATTTTATAACATTCAATAAAAAGCAAATATCCATAAATTAGTGTTTTCTTAAAACGACAAAATGATTATTTATTCTATAAGTAAGTAATAAGATCAGTAATAATCAATGATATAATTTATGCAACTGAAACAGATTCTAATTGTATTAAAAATTTTTAATATAATTTTTTTTAATTAAAACTATATTATAAATTACAAGTGTAAAAAATAATATAATAAATCTAATAAAACATATATATACAATTTTAGATATATTAAATTTTTTAATTAAATATTTTAATAAAACAACAATTTAAAAAATTTGAAATAATTGTAATGAATGTGTGAGAATAATCTATTTAAATTTGTGCAATTGAATATTATGACCATTTTAAAGTATAAAGAACAGAAATATATTTATTTTTCTCAGTTATTTTTGAAAATTTACACGCGCAAAAATTTTGATAAGCATATGGAAATATCATAAAAGATAATTTCGAAAAATATAATGCACTCTTTCATATAATTTTCCAAGTTTCAAACATTATGAATAATAAAGAAACATATCTTTGTTCATTTCTTTTATATCTTTATGTAATTTTCCATCACGTATTATTATTATTCCAAATCAAATTTAAAAATACATAAAGCGTTTCTTTAGAATTCTTGCTATGCTTAAATAACAATTATTTGACAAATATAAAAGATATATATATATATATCATATAATTTTATACAATCAAATTTATTTCAATTATTATAAATAAAATAAAAAAATATAAAGTACTAAGCACATATATAATTAATTAAAAATTTAATAAAGTTCCGAAAAATTCGAATGGTCGATCAATACGAAATGGAGGATTAAGATAAGGAATAAAAGGATGAGGGAAAAAGATTAGAATAAAAAACTTTCAAATATTATACGTTGAATTTTATATAGATGTAACTGTCTTTAAAATTATATTAATTGTTTACATGAATAATCGCAAAAATTTATTCTTTCATGGGAAATTTAAAAATTTTTTTAATTCAATATATAAAATTGTTTCTATTCAAAACATAATAATTATATTATTTTTATATATTAATTGATTTTTTTTTACTGTTGCTTGTATTTAACATTTAATAAGTCAAATGTATTTAATTTTTTAAAAACTAGTGATTAAATTTTTGATGAATTGTAGTGAATTGATATAATCATGATAAATAGATAGAACATTCTATAGATATTAAGACTTATGTGTAGTTAGACGTTATCAATACTTTATTCAATACTTGATAGTAACGATTATTATTATTGTATTAGTAACTTCTAGGAAACATTCAATGCGATAATACTATCTGCATATATAGTTTTCAACATATTGTATTGAAAGTTTTTTTATTTCGAAAAACTTCAAAAAACATAAATATTCGAAGTTAAAAAAATTTTAGATCTAAAATCTATTCTTCCAAATTTCATGTCAATTCCTGATTGAAGCCTTTTATATACTAAGTTAAAGTATAATCCAAAATTTTTACCATGAATTCTAATTTCATGACAAAATATGAAATTAGAAATACACGAAATATAAAAATTCGAACATACAAAATATTGAAAATTATTTAAAATTCTATTTATAAATAATTACAGTTATTAATTAATTATAGATTACTAAATAAAATAAAGTTGAAATAATAGCAAAAAATATTATCAAGCAAATAATATTTATAGAAAAACAAAAATTAAATAGGTTTTTCTGAATTTGAGCCGTGATATTCCGTTTACAGAGAAGTTAGAAGATTCGCGATACCATCGAGATTTTTCCCATCTGGGTATCGAACAAGTTGAAAATGATCGTGCAAAGCACGTTGGTTCCCGGGACACGATGGCAAACGGTGTTTGTAGCAGAACGGCATTATAAGCGCAGAGAGCAGCAGTGTGTGAATAGCGAGCACGTGCATTTCCCACAGAAAACCAATAGGGGCCTTGGCCAGCTGGGAATATGAACGGTGCGCACAGAATTCTGTCTTTCGATCTTTTGGGGTATACGCGACTTAAAACGAGAATGAAGGCTGTTTGAAAGAACGAACAATGTTCGGGCCTTGGAATGTATCGATAGAAAGGCACAACAAAGCGTCCGATTTCCTTCCTATATTTTAAATATAATTTTGTGCCTGTAAAATAAGAAAAGGCTCTGATGGAATGGTAGCGACAGGTAAATCGATTTTAGAAGAAAATTAGAGAAAGAATTTAAAAGAAAGATTCGGTTTGATTTCCTGTTTTTTTTTTCATATATTTTTTTTATTTGATGTAAAATAACAAGAAGTAAATTAAAAATAAAAAAAATAAATAACTTCAATTTTTTAATGTTAATAAAATTATTTTGAGAATTAGAAAGAGGCATGCTTGAATATTATTTTTATATTTTTTTGATTCGTTTCATTTTTTTCTCTTTTTTTTTATTATAATGATATTAATTATTACAATACTGTTTTACATATTTAGTGTTAAATAAACTGAGATAACTATATCTCAAAGATTACAATGCAATTAACGACGCATTTTCCATATTTCTATTTTGCAATTGTACAAGTTGTTTTAGATTTGAAACTTTGTTTTAATTTTTGAAACTTTAATTAATTAATTAATTAAGTGATTCTATAGAATAACTAATTATTAGTTATTTATTTGTAATTATTAAATTAATAAATATTAATTTAATAAATTAATATTTATAATTGTATGTCTTGAATAATAGTAGTGATTTTAAATTGATGACCTTCTTAAATAATTCAATGATCATAAATAACTGATATATATTATTGTCGCATCGCGGAAAATAAAGAACGAAATTACAATACAATCGGACAGAAAAATTCAAACATGAATCTACATGTCTATTTTTTACTTCTGCCCATCATCTATTCATTAATTTATATTTTAAATTTATAATAATTTTTTTTTAAAATTCATTTTTTTCTTTTTTGCATATATGCATTTTTTTTCACAAAAATTATATTAAAATCATAAGGATACAAATAGATTTAACAATAAAATTCTTAAGAATTATTTTTCATACATAGTAGACACTGCATTAAGAATAACTATTCAAGAATGATTGATATTTTCAACATAATTGTCTATTAAAAATAATTTTCGAGAGCAACTCTTGAGAGTTTTATTAAAATATATTTATATCCTAAAATATATAATCTTTATAAAAGTTAATTTTAAAAAATCTTTTTTTACAGTATCTCGGTTTTTATTGAAACGCCTGTAATACGCGACACGCGTTTGTCGTTTTCAAAACTAGTTTCAAAAAAAACCATCAACAACGGCGGCGATCGGCGTTGGGGTGCAACCCGTGTTATCATCCGGCTATCATAGCACGGTGCCACCCCAGAACGGGGGTGGTGGTTCGACATTTAGTGCCGCGGCGATGGTGGCAGCTGCCACCGCTACGGCCACCGCCACAGCCAGCGTGGTGGCCATGCAGGATCGCCAAGACATCCCTTCTCAATTTAATCAAGTATTATTTTCATTTTTATATTTATTTTTCTAGAAATATGATTGATTCTTAAGTTCAGTTTTTTTCTCTTGCGTTTATTTTAAAAGGAAAATAATTTTATCATTTACTATTGTAAATACATGATAAAAAAAAGTATATGTTTAAACATTGAATATATTTTATTCGTTGATTATAGATGCAAAGCCAACATGGAATACCCCATCAAACATATAACGCAGGGTATGCCCAAAGAGGACCAATGGCCGGAATGGGGCCAGTCGGAATGAACAACTTCAATAGTATGGGCACGATGAGTCCAATGCATTCTATGAATTCCATGAATTCGATGAACAGTATGAATAGTATGAACTCGATGAATCCTATGTCGATGGGAGGTATGAACGGTATGAATAGTATGAACGGAATGACTCCCATGAGCTCTATGAGTAACATGGGTAATATGAGCATGAACAATATGATGGGACCTAACAATATGCAAATGAACAAGATGAGCATGCAAGTATGTAAAATTTTATAATTTTTTTTATATCTTAGATTTATATAAAACAGAATTATAGATTTAATATAGATGCATTATCTTAATTATCTATCTTGTAATTGATATATATTTACAGGCTCAACCTCATCAAGGCTATCCAAGGAGATTAGCACCTTATCCAAATCCTGCTATGCATATGGCACAAAAGAGACAACAAAACCCATATTCAAATCCAAACCCAGCTGCGATGCAACCAGCCTTTAATGGCATGTCATCATCGCAATATCCGGCCAATTATCCTGCTGCAGCAAGGCCGAACTTTCAACCTCAGTATCAGCCTATGCAGAATATGAATCCATCGGCTGCTGGTTTTGGGCCTAATTCTATGATACGAAGTAGTAATATGAGGCAAACTACGCCTTCATACACTCCCAATCAAACAGCGAATAACCAATATTATAATAGCAATGGTATACCAGTTAGTATGGGACCTACAACGGTTGGAAATCAATTTGTTGGTCATCAACCAAACTCAGGATATGCTGGTAATACATCTTCGTATGGTACAGCTGGTGTTGCAACCAGTCAATATCAACAAGATGTTGCATCAATGAGAACGACAGGCGCAGGGAGTCTAAATTATCAACATAGTCCTATTCCTGGTAATCCAACTCCACCATTGACGCCAGCCACCAGTATGCCTCCCTATATCAGTCCGAATCCGGATATTAAGCCTAATTCAATGAAATAAAATCACCAATTAATATTCAGAGTAAGTTGAAATGTTTTTATTATTATTTTAATAATAAGATAAATTTAAAACAAGTATTACATTAAAAACATTTAATTATGAGCATATTTTTTTAATCAACTTTAATTATATTTATTTTTTACAATTATAAATGTTTCAATCTTTTATTTAGATTTTTAAATAAATTAGAATATTGATGAATTATTTTTTTCATTGTGCACAGAAGATGATGAGCTACGATTAACATTCCCCGTAAGGGATGGCATTATTCTTCCACCCTTCCGCTTAGAACATAATCTGGCTGTAAGCAATCACGTTTTTCAATTAAAACCCACGGTGCATCAAACATTGATGTGGCGATCCGATCTGGAACTGCAACTTAAGTGTTTCCATCATGAAGATAGACAAATGAATACAAATTGGCCAGCGAGTGTACAAGTCTCTGTGAATGCTACGCCATTGGTTATCGATCGTGGTGAGAATAAAACATCTCATAAGCCTTTATACCTGAAGGACGTTTGTCAACCTGGAAGAAATACGATACAAATTACTGTATCGGCATGTTGTTGTGTAAGTTTTTTTTTACAATTTAATTTATATTTTATATTATTTTAAAATTTAATTTTTATAAAAGAAAAATTAATAAATTTTTTTTTTAATTTGCAGTCTCATTTGTTCGTACTTCAATTAGTTCACCGACCAAGTGTAAGAAGTGTACTTCATGGATTATTACGTAAAAGATTACTTACAGCAGAGCATTGTATTACTAAAATTAAACGGAACTTTAATAATACCATTTCAAATAATGGTATACAATCGGAGAAAGATGTCGTAGAACAAACAGCACTAAAGGTAAATATTCAAAAATATATATTTAAAAATATAACATCTATATATTTTTTAAATTAATTATTTATATAATAATTTTTTTTATAGGTATCTTTAAAATGTCCTATTACTTTTAAACGTATTACACTGCCAGCTAGGGGACATGACTGTAAACATATTCAGTGCTTTGATTTGGAATCATACTTACAATTAAATTGTGAACGAGGATCTTGGCGATGTCCTGTATGCACGTAAGTTATTTTCTAACTCATCTTAAATTTAATTATGAAATTAATTTCATTCAAATTTATTATATTATTATATTCATATTATATTTGTATTATATAATTTTGTTTATATATTAGTATAATAATATAATAATATTATATATTATATATTATATATAGAAAACCTGCACAACTGGAAGGTTTAGAGGTTGATCAATATATGTGGGGTATTTTAAACACTCTAAACACTGCAGAAGTAGAAGAAGTTACGATAGATTCAATGGCAAATTGGAAACCAGCAAAAAATTTAGCTAATATTAAATCTGAAGAAGAAAGTGATTGCAAAAGAATGACAAAGGCAATGTCACCTGGAAGTATGAATATGCCTACTATGAATAATTGGGATATGAATCAAGCAATGAGTCCATACATACCACCTGATATGAGTAGCATTGTAAGTGGTTCTATGATGAATAATACTTCAACTACGTATGGAAATAATATCAATCATCGGAATTCATCGGGAGGATCTTTCGATATTAATTCTGGAACGAATTCGAATACTAGTAATGATTATACTAATGGAGCATCAGGACCTCTTTCGCACTTAAACGAATCAGTGAATTCTTTAGATCCTCTTAATGCTATGGAAAAATCACTTAATGATCAGGTATGTTAGAAGTTTAAAATTATTGAACTTCATAATTGTATGCAATACACACTAATCATTAAATATTTTATTCCTATATGTTATAGATGCCACATACACCTCATACACCTCATACACCTCACACACCACATACACCAGGTGGTGGAAACAGTGGTCCACCAAGTGTTCCTCCAGCATCTCAGGAATCTACTGGAAATCTTAATACATCTGGTAATACAAACATAAACAATGATACTGCGGATATACCATCGGATTTAAATTTTGATCCAGCTGCAGTAATAGATGGTGAAGGTACAGGTCAAGAAGCTCTAAATGTAAGTAATAATTTTTATTTTCTTAACATTTAAATATTTTGATATTTATAAAATGTTAATTTAATTTAGAATTTATTTATTTTTTTTATATTTATATATTTTTTATTAATCAATAGGTTTTGAGTAGAATCCAAAAATACCAATTTTAATTTCTTAGAAATTCTTAATATTAAAAATTATAATTTAAATAATTAAAATTTAAATAAAATGATCTATGTTAATCTACTTTGTAGAGATAATATAAAATTAGAGATAAATATAAAATTAAAAAAAATATATATATATATATAAAAAACAATTTTTAAATAAATCGAATGTAAAACAAATTTGACTTCAATAAATAAAAATTTAATTACAATTTTATTTAGAATGTATAGAAAAGACTACATTATCTAACTTTCTAATAAGTCAAGATATAGAGCATGTTTTTTAATCTGTTTTTTATCTTTACTATGATAACATATGTTTATCCCATCAGTGTAATTATTTATCTTATTAAGCATATATGCATCAAAAATGTATTTATAAATATTAAACTGATATTTTTGGATTTTATTCATAAATCTATCAAATTATAAAAAAATAAATAAAAGTAAAAAAAATAAATGATTTTCTAAATTAAATTTCATTCTTGAATAATTTTTATAATATATGTATTCATTATTATTTTTTATTATGTTATATTATAGCTCTTGCCAGATAATGTTGTGGATCCAATGGAATTACTTTCATATTTAGATCCACCAGATCTGAATACTCCACCCAGTAGTGGCGCTAGCAGTGGTAATCCCTCATCGAGTGATGATATTTTAGCACTTTTTGAATAAAAATTAATGGGCATCTCATAAGAGAAATAATCAAATTATGACCCTGATCATAAGGAACAAAATTATATCGACAAGTTTGCATCCTAATACAGATATATTTCTAATCGAATGAAATTACTTGTAATGAGCAATTTCAAAAATTGGGGTCATTATTGGGTGCTCTCACCTAATTCAATGGTACAAAAAATCTTAGCTCTAATTATAATATTCCTATCGACAAAGTTAGGGCATATTATTAGATTTAAAGACAATGACTTTTAATTAATAGGTAAAACAAAGTATGTAATAATGCTTCTTGGTAAAGATGTTATTGCATGGATAATGTTACTTCTTGATCATTCAAAATTTTTATTTCTAAATCGCATATAAATATAAATATTGTACCGAACATATATTTGAGAACTGATTATTGCAATTATATTAATTGTGCTCAAAAACAATGATAATCGAATTTTTTAATATCAGATATAGAATATTTTACATATATTAATGTTATGAAAAAATGTTTGTTTGATAAATGTGCAATACGATTAATTTACATACATTTTATACATATTACACATATATTTTGTATATTCATCTATTTTTTATTTCAAAATAAGTTTTTACATAGATAATGTTTAAAGAATATATGATAAAATAGAATTTATTTATATTATGTTTGATACAATGAATTGATAACTTTTAATGATTTGCATAATTTAAATTTTTAATAGATTTTAAAAAATCGTATAGCACATTTATAAAATCTTATATATTGAAAAAAGATTTTTGAGATCAATATATACACACAAAATTGGAATAATTTTAGAAACCTATTTATATTAATTACATTACTATTATAAAATATCATACTATTGAAATTTAAAATGATTCTAACAAATTTATGATTTTGAAATATTTCCTTGAAAAAATATACATCCTATGTTATAAAGATATTATATTTAAATATTCCTTGCAATATAATCTTTACTTCAGAACCGGTCTACTCGCATTCAAGGCTATGATGGACCTACATCACAACAGAACTATAATTGTACACTTGTAAATAAGTTTTAATTAAAAAAAATAGATAGAATATTCATCTGTTGTGAATTACTCTGCTTCTTAATGGATATAGCATATATAGTGTTCCTTTCCTTTAGATGATTAGTGACAACAGATGAAGAAGAATCGAGGGCATATCGGGCTTCACACTGGGAATTATGATGTATCTCTTGAGCTTTTAAAAAAATACGTAATTCCAAAATATTTAAATTATGTTTCATAAAATATTTCTTTTTTATTTTTTATTCTATTCATAATAAATATTATAATTTTTATTTATGTGAAAATTTATAATTTGATATTGAATTTATTAATGAATTAAAATTTTTATATCATTAATAATATTATATATAAAACTTATAATTATATACAAATTAAAAAAAAAATACATTAAAAAGAAAATATTTGATTTTTTTCTTTTTCATTAGAAAAAATATTTTTATTTTTTTAAAGATTTCATTAAACTGTTATAATATGAAAATAACAAAATATTTTTATACAATATAAAATCTCTGAAGGTACATCAAAACTTATGTGTATACATGTATATGCATATGTATATATGTAGAATGTTAACATATTCATGAAATATCTTTGGAAGATTAATTTTAAAGAAGAAAAAAAATATAAAAGTTGATATAAAAAAAAATGTCAACTAAAGCTTCTTTTTTAAATTAAGTTTTAAATAAAAATATATATTTAAATATATAGTAAATAAATAATTGAAGTATATTAGATGAAAGAAGAGATAAAAAGAGTGAAACTGCTTTATTTTTACATTGTTGTTATACTCTGTTTTTATCTCGCTTCATTTAATTATTTAAATTACTTACAATTTAATAAATATTTGTCATCGATATTTATATCAACTTTTTTATTTTGATCTTTAAAATAAACTTTAAAGATGTTCTACAAATATATTAACAATCTATATACATCATATATAACATATAGAATTTATTTTCATATTTTGATTAGTTAAGAAGATTTATATTAATAATTATTTTAATAATTATGTATCTTAATATAATGTTAATAACAAAATATATCTCTTATTCTATTTATAATTTTTTTTTATTAAAAATAGAAACAATTTTATATTATTAAAACAATTGAATTTACTAAAATCGAATAATAAATTACAAAAAAAAACAAATTTTATAAGAAATCAACTTTTACTTGAAAAATTAGTATGAGAAAATAAATTCTATATAATAAAATTAGCACAAATTCTCAAAAGAACTGATTTTCGTTTAACGAAATTTCAGATAAAAAATTATACGTATGATATTACTGCCAGAGTGAAACCGCCCATAGCCCCCAGCTTATATAGTAATTATTACATTTATATCTTTTGTGATTAAAAGAGAAAATATATACTTAAAGTGATTCATGTAGATTATACAAATTTTATATAAAAATGTATTTATATTCCAGTGTGCAACAATAGCGCACATTGACGAATTAGATGCGGTCAAGTTTCTATTCATATAACTTAATTATAATATTATTAATAATACGATAATAATAATACTTAATTAAGCGAGATTATTGTATATTACCTGTATATATGATAAATAGATTAATAATATAAGAAAAGTGGCAGATACTTATTGGCCAGTTATAATAATAAAATAATTATCTTAATTATTTCTCAGAACCAAAACATACAAGCATTGTATGAGAATACTTTAAAATTAGAAAATAAAACATGTAAATGAATATAGGATAATAACAGTTCAAACATTGCACTGTTATTTCTAATAGAATTATTACTTACTTATTAAAGACATAATTATCAAAAAAGTTTATTCAAATTATAAGCTTTACTTAGGATTGCCAGAAAGTAGGCACGTGCAACATTGTTGCAATTGTATATAGACAATGTCTACCTATACCTACTTAATAATATCCTAAAATACATGATACACGGTCTTGGTTTACAAGTTGTAGAGTTTTATAAATATCTGGTAAATTAGCACAATATTTTTAATTTTTGTCAAAAGATATGAATATATATTAAATAATATATGAGAAGAAAAGTAAGAATAATAAATATCAAACTTACTGTGTTATTAGTTAGTTAATTAAATTATATATTTCATAATGAATTTTGCTCATTTAAATATAAACAATTTTGTACTGAAGAAATTTAATTTTTACAAAAGAATATTAACAATTAAATTATGTATTTACAATATATGTATTTTAAAATCAATTTTAATTTTAGTCTAATAATATTTCAGATTATTATGAATCTCTACAACTTTATAATTATATACCTATTTATCTATTGTTAGGAGGCCTATGATTTGAACCTACAATGCGTCGCAAAAGACTTAAATGATCAAATGTCATGTGTGTTGTCTTGTCCAAGACCTGAAAAGTTTCACTAAGAAAATAAAATATTTTCATGTAATATGACACGGCTGTACCTACTTATGGCATATTGAAGGTATTCAATGAATCCAATGAAGCTTGTTGATAAGCATTTATAGACGAACAATAATTTCATTTTGTTATATCAATGTATATTATTAAATTCCTTAAAAATTTAATGTTAGTTTAGATAATCAGTTTTAAATATACTAATTATATATATTCATAACTTTTTTAATTATCCACAAAAACTGGACATGGACCAACTTTTGATTATACATGGGATTTATAGTAATCGATTAAATTTCGGAAATAAAAAAAAGTGTTCGTATATTTTGAGTATCTAAAACATCAAAAGCTGTGCAATTTGCTTTAACATAATTTCATAAATATAAAAATATAGAAATGTTTTAAGCATTGCCAAAGAAAATAGAAATTGAAACTATATAATAACCGAAAGAACTTAGTTATAATCACAATTATAAGTTAAGCAGGATAAAAAAACGGTCACAAATTTTACTAGTGGAATGAGAAAAAAAAACTTTCGTTATTAGATAATTATTCTCCTCAATTATATAAAAAGACATAAGTTAGTTAAATAATTAATTAGTATTGTGTTTTGGAGATGTTTCAAGTTCTTTTTTTTATTTCAGTAAATTATGTGACCCAATTTTTATTCTACTAGTAACAATGTTTTTATATCAATCAATAAGATTTTTATAAATCTACGATTATTACCTGAAGTTTTTCATAAATTGTTCAAACATTTCATAGATAAATCATAATGTTATATTAATCAATATACAGAGTATTTATCATAATCGCCATAAGTGATTGGTACAGATTTGTGTAAAAATAAAGAATAATACAAAAAGTGTACGTTACAAAAAGTACTAATATCATTGGTTGCATTCATGTAAAAAATTTTAATACACAAAGACCAGTTTATAATATGTATGACAGACATCACATTGTTTCTCGATAACAGTTAGAAACATTCAATAAAAAAGTCATAAAATATTGAACGTTTTATATCATTTTTAGATCATTTTTCCTATAAATCAATTTTTGAAAAAAATATATTTAAAAAATATTTTAAAAACAATTATTGCAAATAAATAAAATTCTTATGAAACAAAACAAATTATTGTTATATTATGCAACAAGACATTCAATAAATTTATCTTGTATTAAAGAATAAGAACAATTTTTATATTTTTTTTATTGTGATTCATAACATAAATAATATATATATGCATAAAAAATGTTACTTTATTTATATTATTTAATTTAAAAATTTAATAAATATAAATTTAATACTTATTTATGATTATATTGGATTATATTAAATTTATATTTATATTATATTTATATTTATATAATTGAAATTTATAAAAATACTTATATATATATTTGGATAAATTAATTAAAATATATTGCATTAATATTATAATTATTTAAAATAACTAAAAAATTAAATTTTACTTATTTTTAGAATATATATTTTAGAATATAACTCTTATTTTAAAAATAAAATTATTTTAAATTATTTTAAATATTTTGTATTTTTATTATTCTAAATTATATTAAAAAGATAAGAGTATTGATAAAATTCATGATGGACATACAAAAAAAATTTTAATACAAGATATCATAAGAAATAATAAGAATAAATTACAAATTAAAAATTATATTTATATTTACAATAATTAAATTCTCAAGTATTGTAAATATATATCACTTTTTAAAAATATAATTAAAACACCAAGGAGATAGTATTTTATAATGGAAAAATAATGTTTCTATTTGAAATAATTCTTCGCAAAATTATATATGCATAACTTAAAG